AGAACCCCACCTGATTCTCCTTTACTGTTTTATGTATGTCTGTCCTTTCCTCATTTCTTCATTGCCTCTACAGAGTTCCAGGACCCAAGCAGTGCAGGTTGTCCCATCTCACCAGGTCCCAACATTTTATTTATAAAACAAATTACTGACAAATTATTTATATATTCCATGGGGTTACATAAGGCAATGCTCACACATGCACATGATATATGTGTATGTACGTAACAGAAGATGAGACTCTCCTTCCACCTTTATATGGGTTCCTGGTATCACATCAGGTTACCAGGCTTGTACAGCAAGCACTTTTACCCTCTGAGCCATCACACTGGCCTTAAATATTCCTTCTAGGGAGGGGACGGTTAGGAGGAGGAGGGGAGGAGAAAGGGGGCTGGGATCAGTCTGTAAAGTGATTAAATAAAAACAAAACAATGAAAAAATCCCTTCTAATGTTTACATTTCTTTATAAATAATTAGTAGTAGTATAAAAATAAAAAGTAGTATACTTTTGAAAGTATTTTCTAAAACTATCAGCACTGTTTCTCTTTTTAGAGATTTACTGTATTTTTAATTGTGTGCATGTGTGTAGGCAGATGCATGGGAGCACAGGTGCCTATCAAGAGCAGATGCATCTGATATTCCTGAAGCCAGAGTTTCCGGGGTTATCAAATGTCTAGTGTGCACACTAGAAACTAAACTTGTGTCTTCCACAAGAGCAATATGAGCCCTTAGCCATTGAGCCATCTTTCCAGCCCCGATAGCCACATTTGAACAAAATTCTTTTCTAAACAACTTAATCACACAAGGTCCAACCCCTTTTATTAAAAATTGGCAGTTTTAGTACTTGGAGAATTAGAGAAGCAAATTAGAGAAGCTTTATTTAACATAAATATGTAAATTCCCAAGCACTTAGGGAATAAAAAAATTATTTTATTTAAAAGAAATATAATAGATTATTGAAGAGGGAAAGTTGATTCCACTTAACTGAAATTCCTATATGCATAGCCTAATACTATTTGAAGATCTTAAGGTTTATACTTTGAAATCTGCAAAACAGCCACCCAAATAAACCCACTTTATTACCTGGCTGCTCTCCATTGCAGGCTCTCCTCTGCCATCTTCTTCAGAGACTTGACAGTTTTGCAAAAGGTCATTACTTAAAGCAGAGGCAAACAGCTCCTTGCACTGTGCTGATGCAGTTGTTTCTCTTTTTGGAAGACTTGCAGTAGCATCCTTGCTCTTGTTAGTATTAATCTGCATAGGCAAAAAGTTGAAGGGCTTTCGGTTTTCACTAAGCTGACGTTTGTTGTTAGCCGCTGTTGCTCTACCTTGAGAATCACTTCCAATACTTCTCTATACACAAAAAGAAAACCAAATCACACAAACATTAATTTTTCAATAATTTTTTAAAGATTCCAATGTTCTTAGTTTCAACATTAGATGATCAGGACATGGTTTTGTAAAGGAGTTTTGAAAAAGCTTCAGATCTATAAAATTCTACTAAATCATCAACATTTTATTACTTTTCTAGTCTCATTTTTTGAGATATGCACTTGATGAATATGAACAAGGTTAGTCTAACACTAGTACTGTGGGCTACATTATAATTCATATTACTATTTTTACTTATAAAATACTTACTAGGCTTTGCATCCAATGAATTGTTATTAATTTTAGCACAATGATTTGTCTACATGAAACACCATTTGAAAAAAGCGTTCAGTTTAGAGCTGGTAACACAGCTGAGGTAGACTGTTTATAAAATATCTCTAGGGCCAGAGGTTTAATCTACAACACCACACATACACATACACACACACACACACACACACACACACACACCCACACACACCCACACACAAAATCAGTTTAGTACCTGGCATATGTGTATATACTACATCTACAAAATAGGTGATCATTTACACCGTCACTGGCATATCAGGCTTTAATCTATTATTCTGCATGTTTGGAAACCTCTTTACCTCTGCAATAAAATACTGGTAAAAAATACCAGTGAAGAGTTTATCATCATTTCTACTGCCTTTAGATCTATTTTGGTGATTATAAAGCCAGTTTTATTGTAAACTTTAGATAACCAAGCACATTCATACTTATTCAATAAATGAACTAAACTTAGTAGCAATTTCATTCAGTTAGCAAAATCTACTTTCATAACTTAAGCTAGCTATTAGAATAGTAATAACCCAGAAAGAAGTACCTTGGCATCTCTCCATAGAACTCTTATCAGTATTAAAATTCTCCCCACCCATACAGAAACTTTTATTCTCCCCAATCTTTTATTCTTAAGACATATTACTTAACCCATTTCAAGTATTTCCCATGGTTACAACTTATTTTGAAAATAATTCACAAACCTGATCTAAATCACTGAAGTTTATCCGCTGTTTAAGTTTCTCTAATTCTGCCTGCTCTGGAACAGACATCTGAGTCATGTATCTACTGTGTGGAAACGTATGTGGAATCTTTGTTCTTCGTCTTCCAACTCCCGGTGATGACTCCGGAGAAATATCATTAGTTACCCTCTTATCACTTGCTACACCAAACTTTTTCTTATTCTTTTCTGATGATCTATTGGCCTTCTTCTGTTGGCCACCCCACTCCTTTAAAAAATAAAGTCAAAAGTTAATCATACCTATATCAAACCAGAAAAATAACTTAGTATGTTCAAAAAAGAAGAAACTTTGGTCTGGGTATTAAAATACCAAAACATTTTTCATATACAATTACTCTAGAAATTTATTTCCGTTAGCCTATTTTTCTCATTATTCTATCTATCCTATTATTACAGCCTGGCCTTTAAAAAATCTACTACCTCCCTATTATAGGTAATAAATATTAAACTTCAAATCCCAACATGCAAATCAATTTAAATATTTTCAATAGTTTTGTTTTGTTCTGTTTTGGTTTTTTTTGAGATAAGGTCTTGTTAAGATTGGCCTTGAACTCACCATACAATTCGAATTCATGATTCTCCTACTTCAGTCTGTCAAGTGTTATAATACTACTAGGCCCAGCTCAAAAGCATTTCTAAAGATGTTCTTTCCATCTATCTTTATGATACAAATCTATAATCTCAACACTGAGACTGAAAAAGGAAGCTAGAGAGTTCAAAAGAATTCAAGAGCAGTTTAAGGTAAACAGTGAAACCTTGTTTTAAAAAGGTAAAAAAAAAAAATGTTCATTTCTAAAGTAAGTAGTGAAATAAATACAACTTTACCTGGCCTCCTTTAGATTAAAATCAGCATGTATTAGCAAAAAGAAGACAGAACTAGAATGGCCATACGTTCTAAACCAATTACTGTCTTCTAAAGAAACACAAGGCAAATCATTTAACTTCATATTATTTGTTTCTTTCTTTTTTTATTTTTGTTTTTCCAGATAGTGTTTCTCTGTGTAGCCGTGGCTGTCCTGGACTTGCTTTGTAGGCCAGAGATCTGCCTGCCTCTGCCTCCCAGAGTGCTGGGATTACAAGTGTGCACTATTGTACCCAGCTTGGTTTCAGTTTCTTAATCTTTACAGTAAGATTAAAAAATTATATGTGTGGGTACTTAGAACAATGCTTAGCATTTGGTAAACATTAATGTAACTATTATTGTCCCCATTAGTATTTTATAGGCCAAAATCCACTATACACTATCCAATACGGATTAAAATGATATATATTTTAACTAGAAAATACCTTCATTTACTCATGCCTATATAACCAAATTTGTTCCACAGACAGAACTATGCATTTCCACATTATCCACATTGGAAGACTCTTAGTTACTACTATAATAATTATAAACTGCTTACTAAACTGTCCTCATTCATAAAAAATTTTGCCTATGAACTGTTCCTCCACCCCATTCCAGGTAGGGGTATTTGTGACCTTTTTTTTTTTTTTTTTTTTTTTCTTGATACATGGTTTCTCTATGTAACAGTGCTGGTATGTAGACTACACTGGCCTGGAACTCACAGAGATCCACCTGCCTCTGCCTCCTGAGTACTGGGATTAAAGGTGTGGGACACCATGCCCTGTGAACCTTTTATATTACATAACCCATCCATTTCAGGCCACAGATGAATGAAAAAGAAATCTACAACTAACTCAAGTTTAGCTAGATAATCATAACTTTAAGTTTGTCAGTATATAATTCCCTGTGACCGAAAATCTTCAGAAAGGCTGCCTCAGTATATGAAACAAACCAGAGAAAAAGAAAAGGCAGATCTGGAAGGGAAAGCTGAGTTAGGCAGAGGTTCTCAGAAACACAGACACAATGGTAACGAGCCATTTTTGATAGCTTCCCATTTCTCTTTTTCCCTTCCTAAAACTGAGCTATATGCCTTTAACATGGTTTCCATAAAGCACTTTCACCTCCTTATATCACTTTTTAAGCCAACTCATGCTTTCTATTAACTACAACTAAATGTTTTCAATGAATAATAAGTAGCACAGAGTCCCTTAGTCTATTTGCCTGCAGTTTTTATAGTTTTGCAGTGACTACAAGTGATGGGAAAAGTCTCACAGAACATGAGAGATCTACAGTACAGCATTTACACTAAGACATCATACCATATTGTTGAGTCGGTCATCCACACTCTCATTGCTCCAGTTTGGTAAGTCCTGATCATGCATGACTTCTTCAAAAGGCTCTCCTCCTGTGGCCATGTTGGCTCTAATAAGCAGATCTCTGCAAAATCAGTAAAAACTAAGTTTTTAAACACATAAAGACGAACTTCGTTTCGTTTGAAAAATTTAATTATCTTGGGTATGCATGTCTTAGTATATAAGTGCAGACATATATGCATCACAACATGTGTGCAGAGGTCAGAAGGCAACTTTTTGGAGTCAGTTCTCTCTGCCCACTGTGCGATCTACAGATGAAACTCAATCATCTGGTTTGTATGGCAACCATTTTCATATGCTAAACCATCATGCTGGGCCAAACTTCAGATTTTCAATCATTCCATCAAACTTAATAATAGATAGAAATCTCTGAAACACTAATTTAAGAAATACACTATCAACCACGTCACAGATAAGTTGATTTAACTACTATTTACACATTATATTAACATGACTCAAGTAGCAAAGTAATGGAGATAGTAGCACACACTTGTAATCTCAGTACTGGGAGGTAGGAGAGTCACATGTTCCAAACCAGTCTGGTCTACATAATAAGACATTTAAGATTTGCTTCAAATAAAAAAGAACAAACGCACTAAACATTTTCCAAAGAGTGCCTACTCTCTCACGGTGTTGTGTCAATCTTCCTAAAGTCTACCAAACCCACAGATCTTCACTGCAGAGGATTTTGGCTTCTGATGTTCTTTTGGTGGTGCTGTTTGGGGTTTTAAATTCACATTTATTAATTTTTTGGAAGGGAGTGCTTGTCACAATGTAGCTATGGAGGCCAAATGGTAACATTCATGAGACAGTTCTCTCCTTCCATTATGTAGAACTTTGGGAATGGGTTGTAAGGCTTTGTGGCAATCACCTTTAATTGACAACCTTCTCCCTAACTCCCATTTTATTTTCTGAGACCAGTCTTACTATATGTAGTCCAGGCTGGCTTTGAATTAGGCTGTCTTAGCTTCCCAAGTGCTAGAATTAGAGGAATGGGCCACCAACCCCAGCAAGTTACCTCATAGAGTTTTTACTTGTGTACATGAAAATAAGGGTACTGAGTATTATGCCTGGGTCAGAGAGGAGAAACAGAAGCAACAGAGTTGAAACAGAAGCAGAGGATCCGAAGTACAAATGACCTTAAGAAAGATTCTCGATTTCCTTTAGCTAATAATCTAAGGATTATCATGTTGAAGGAGAAGTAGAGGAAGGAGAAACATCAAGATAACTTTATCTAACATGGAAAGTCACTAAAGTACAAACAAGTTATAAACATCAACAGTCACATAATTTTACCGCAATCATTCAGTTAAAAGAGCAAAAATTATAAAATCAATTTGCTTTGACTCTAAGATCCTAACTCATTCCATTTACAGCACCATCATGATAAAAAAGGATTAATCTCATAGCTATTTTAATGTTACAATATCTACTAGGGTAATATATTAATAAATTATTAGTATTAAAATTTTATCTCAAAATAGTAAAATAAATATTAAATATCAACATAATATTAACTTTAAAAATCTGTAAAAGATAAACAATATTTGCTTATAGTTATATATATATATTTATTCTGGGTTTCTTGTTTGGGGGGAGCAGTCTTTCTGTTTGGTACTAAGTAGGGAACCTAAGGTCTTATACATGGTACACAATTGTTCAATCAATGCTATATCCCATTTATTTTCTTTTCAAGAAACATATACTATTTTAATAATTCTCCAAAATATTAGAAAGAAGCTATCTTATTCTTTTGTATGCACACAGTAACTGGGAAAATAAAAAAGATGACATTCTTAAGGAACATGCACTAAAAAGGTATGAACAGCAAAATATCACCAATAACAATTTTAAAATAAGAGGGAAAATAATGCACTTAATGATAAAATATGTAATGAACACTTGTAAAATATTGCCTCATTTAAAGAAGCACTATTAAATATTATATAACAGTATTAGAGAAAATATGAATAAAACAAATATTGAATATTCTTTATTGAATATACCAAAGTAAAGTATCATTTTACTGCTAAATGTCTAAATTTAACATAATCCAATCCCCACACACACACGCTCGGATGGGCAACACCACCACTACTCTTCTTGGAACTTGACAAAATGACTCTAAAATTGACCTGCAAGAATTAAAAAGTCAGAAAGACAATATAATATGTATCAAATAAAAGCAAGGTTAGTGACGACGATAGGTCATGGGGATGGAAAACCAATCCAGCATAGCAAGCATATTAAGAATTGTACTTGATGTATGGCTGTTCAACAGGTGGGGCAATTCCCTAACAATCTGCAAAGATTTAGAGCCTTAGCAAAGTCCCTTAGCTGGAACGCTCAGTCTCAAGCACAAAACACAGAAATAGTATCTAGCCAGTTTCCCAAAGATATATCTTTGTATCTTTCTACATCATTAATTCCTAGACCCAAACAATGTCATTAAGTCTCTACCATTTTCACGCAGAGAAATATTACCCAACACCAACAATAATAAACAGATTAAAAACAGAACTGTCAATGGAATAGGACTTTTTCAAAAAGCAAAATGAGAAGGAAAAAAAGGACATTAAAAAGGAGAAATTTTACTATATTCAGAATACAAAAATATAAAAACATCTCTATTGTATTTATAAAAAAATTCCAATAACCAAAAATGATAGAGGGAAGGAACCTGAGAGAAGTATGAAACATATAATTAACATATTTAAGCTTTTTATTAATTTTAATTATATACACATGGGGGGGGGGTACATTACATGGATGCCCTGGAGCTGGAGTTACAGGCAGTTTTGAGCCACCTGACAATGATGCTGAGAACCAGAGTAGGATTCTGTGCAAAAGCAGTAAATGCTCTTACCATCTGAGCCATCTCTGCAGGCACCAACATCCTTACCAAAAAAAATAATAAATGTATACAAAGAAAAAAAGAAAGCAAAATAAAAGTAGTTATCAAATCCAACTACAAACCAAAATAATGACTAAAGTTGCTAAATTTCACATAAATTATTTTCTAATACTGACTGACACTAAAAGCAAAATGGAATTCTCAGATACTGTGGGAATATAAACTGGCATCATCTTTCTGAAAGGCATTTTGGCAATATTGTGTCAAACACCAAAACTGTTCACAGCTAGCTAGCCTATCTAAGGTATGAGATTAAAGTTTTAAATCGGCTAAATTTAAAATAACTAGATGTCATTATCCTATGACAGGGTAAAGGTTATTAGGCAAACAGTATGGCATCCACTGAATTTTTAGAATACTAAGCATCCTTCTAGAGGTATAATTATGAAGGCTGGACAATACAGCATCTTTGTTTATGAAAAGGTTATATAACAGAGAAAAAACCATCAAAAATTATGCATATACTTAATTACTGGTTATGGAGGAGAAATACAGTAACCTTTACTCTTTTCTCTGATTTACATATTTTAACAACCATTACATTATTTCCTGTTATAAATACACTTAAGAACTTTTAAAATAATTGGTATCCATAGACAAGTATGCCCACTGAATTGAAACTTACTTGAACATTGGGCAGTTACTTAATATATTTTAGATGCAAAGGTATATATATATAACTTGGATTAAAAGGAACAGGAACTAAAAAACAGACAGGCAATAAAAGTGAACCTGTATTTAAAAGTGCTAAGAGCAAATGTTCTATGAGGGAAAACTGGGACTGAGAAGACAGCTCAGTGGGTAAAGTACTTAACACACAAGCCTAACAGCTTGAGTTCAAATTCCAGGAACCCAGGCAAAAGCTTAATGCAGGAGTACAAACATCTATATTCCCATCATGCTCCTATGGGAGAGATGAAGAGCAGACAGGAGAATCTCTCCTGGAAATGTATGGGATAGCAGCAATGCCCAGTAAGTAAGAAAAGTTCCCTATGCACTCCATGTTCCTCGCACAAATGTGGCCACGCCCGCGCCTGCACGCACACACGCATGCACACACGCACGAACACACACACACTCTACAAATAAGTTTTTAAAAAAAGGACAATTACTTGATATTTAAGCAAAAATTAATAAATAATAAAATTTTCCTTAAATGAGGTACATTATGCTTTCTATAAGTTATAAGGCTGGAGAGATGTCTCACTGTCTGCTCTTCCAAAGGTCCTGATTTCAATTCCCAACAACCACATGGTTGTTCATAACCATCTATGAGACCCAGTGACCTCTTCTGGTATACAGGCATACATTCAGGAAGAGCACTATATAAATAATAAATAAATAAATATTTTATTAAAGTAAAGTTATAAAATAAACCCACCTTAACATAAATTAGGAATATATTTGGCAAGACGCTGGCCATGGTAGCCCAAACTTGTAATCCTAGTACTAGGAAGAATAAGAAAGACTGGCAATTCAATGTCAGACTTGGCTTAAGAGCAAAAAACCTATTTCAAAACAAAAACAAAACATCAAAATTAAGGCTGGGATGTAACTTACTAGTATAGTACCACTTATCCCAGGCACTTCTGGGAGTTTTACAGTTGGATAAGGCATAAGTGATACTGCTGACAAAATGGTGGAGAAACTCTACAACAGTCGTGCCTATGTAAGAATAGATAGATAGATAGATAGATAGATAGATAGATAGATAGATAGATAGATAGATAGATAGATGTGTATATGTCTAAATGTAAAAGGCAATCCCAGAAGCCAAAGGATTACTAGTAATGATACCAATACCATGGGCAGGCTACCTTCCTATGAGGTATAACACAGCTTTTGCCAGCGATATTGACTACATGTCATAACTGGACCTTATGAATTTACAACCCATGACACAGCACATTCTGGGCCAGAAAATGGAGAAATCGAGTTAGGAGTGAGCTCCTTCCTTGCTGGCTGGCATTCTTAGTGTCAAAAGCCATTATGAAGACTGGGGCTGAAAGCTGTTGTCTACATTACTATTCAGGTATGGTCACAAGAGTGCTAACTAACACCATTTGCATGCTAATCAAGATGTGCCCACTGGTTTGAGTGTCATGACTTCTGTGAGATAGAAACAATTGCTTTCTGGTAGGATATAAGGCTTATTCCAGAAGAGGGGAGTAAAGTTTAATTTGATACTGTAAAATAATCAGCTGTGGCTAAGGAGGTGCTAGGCCCTGATAAGAAAGCTATGGCCAGCTATGATACACCTCTCAAAATTCTTCTAAACATTTACATTTATGACCATAAACTATTGCTGCTGTCAACCTTGGCTGGGAAGCTTTTTCCCCCCTGTGGACAGCAGATACAGAAGAGACTTATCAGCAGTTCAAGTACTGAGAACAAGTCACTGTTGCTGTAACAAAGAGACCGCACGCTCACCTCTACATGGGAGAAAATAATCATACATCTGTGTGACTCACCATATCTACCCATACACAACACTCAGGGAACATTATGGAAAAGAGGACTAAAAGTATATTATAACATGGAGAGGTGAAGTGTTGAACTCGGAGCTCTAGGCATCACATGGCTGTTGCCATCTTGAAATCAGAACATGAAACCTATGTAACACTGGGACCACTGATAATCTCTCATGGAAAGAGAGCCTCCTTAGGTACACATGGTCACTCCACACTCTAAAAATATAGAGCAGTTAACAATGGCTGGGAGAAATGAGGCTATTTGACAGTGTACTTACTTGTCCATGCTCATGTAAGTAACCCTAACTAAATCTGCTAGTTCACCAAGAAGGACTTGAATGAAATCATTTCTCTGGCCTGTTGCCTTCTTTTACTACTATCAACTAGGTTCCCCAGAAAGTCATAAAACAATATAACAAAATAGCATAAAACGTGTTCAAAAGGCACACTAATATATATGGGAAATTAGTATAAAGCCAGAACTGGTTATGGTGACGCATGTCTATAGAATCTTAACATTTGTGAGGTGGAGACAGGAGGCTATAGCAAGTTCAGTGCAGCCTGAGCTACATGAGATCCTGCCACGAACAAAAAAGAAATATAGAAAGCTGAAGCTGGAGAGATCGCTCAGTGGTTAAGAGCATATATTGCTTTTGCAGAGGCTCTAAGTTGCATTTCCAGCATCTACGTCCAGTGGTTCACAACCACCTCTAATTCCAACTCTAGGCAATTTGCCATCCTCACAGGTACCTGCACTCATGTGCACCTACACACACACACACACACACACACACACACACGACAGAGAGAGACAGACGTAATTGAAAATAAACTGTAAAAATAAAAGTATAAAGCTAAAAATGCATTGTATCAATTCTCAATATATTAATATTCAGTAACTAAATTTGCTAGTTCACCAAGATGGACTTGAATGAAATCATTTATTATTATATTAATACTTATTTATCATTTGTTATTAATATTCAGTAAATTTCTCAAAACTAGTATCTCCTCCTATGAAACGTTTCTAAGGGGGCTGAGGAGTTGGCTCAGTTGGTAAAGCACTGGATAAAGGATGAGGATCTCAGTATCTCTGATCTCAGCACTGGGGGAGGACTGTCAAAAGGCTCCTTGGGGCTTGCACTGCCAAAACAACAAACAAAAACAATGTATCCACATCAGATCTTTTCCTTTCAATTTAAGACTTAAAAATTAAAAATTCAGTAAAGGCTGATGAGATGGTGCTGAGCAGGTAAAGGTACTTGCCACCAAGCCTAACAATCTGATTTTGATTCCTGAACCCACATGATGAATGAAAACCCTGACTCTACAAGGTGTCCTCTGACCTCTGCCTATGCGCCTGAGTGCACACACAATATATAAATAAATGTATTTAAGTTTTAAAATGAGTAAATTTCTAGAATTCAAGTTTTTCAAATTAAAAAAAAAAAAAAAAACAACTCCAAACTCTGAAGACTTAGTGGGAGATAAGGCAAATAAATGCAACAAAAAATAGCATTCAATTTGGATTGACAAGAACTTAACTTTCAGCACTTAGGAGGCAAATGCAGGATCATTGGAAATTTTAGGCAAGTCAGGGGTACACAGCAAGACCCTACCTAAAAAAGACAAAAAGGCACTTAACCCCACAGTGTACCTTATCAACCGAACTTGTCACTGTGGGTTAGCTCTTTCATCAGTTACTTATAATGTAGATCTCTTTCTTTCCTTTTCTTTCTTTCTCCTTCTTTCTCAGAAATTTTTAAAAATTCATCTTATGTGTATAGGTGTTTTGCCTGCATGTGCATGTACCATCTGTATGTCTGATAACCGCAGAGACTAGTGAAGACATTGATTCCCTAGACCTGCAGTTATAGAAGGTTGTAAACCACCCTGTAGGTGCTGGGACTGAACTGCAATCCTCCAAAATTACAAAAAGTACTCTTAGCTGCTCAAGAATCTCTTCGTCGCCTCCCCATTTGGTTTTTGAGACAGTGTATATCTTACACTATAGCACAGTAGTTCTCAACCTTTCTAATGCTGTGACCCTTTAATGCGGTTCTTCAGATGTTGCTACTCCATAACTGTAATTTTGCCACTGCTTTGAGTCATCATGTAAGTATCTGATATACAGGATATCTGATATGCAACCCCCATGTAAGGGTTGTTCTACCCCCCAAAAAGGGTTGCAACTCAAAAGGTTGAGCAACGCTGCTATAGCACAAGCTGACCTGGATCACAATGTGTAGTCCAGGCTAATCTTTAATTCACAACAAGCTTTCCTGCACTGTCTTCCAAGTGCTAGGGTGACAAGCGTGTGCCACCATATCCAGATTTTTTCTAAACAAAAATTATATACATTTACAAGGTGCAATGAGATATTCTGATACACACATACGATATAATGCTGAAGTCATGTTAAACATTTCTATCTCCTCAAACATTATTTCATTTTAAAAAGTTATATTTTTATTACTTTTAATTGTGTGTACATTGGTTCCCCTAGAGGCCAGTACACCAATCTCCCTGGAACTGGAATTACAGGTGGTTGTGAATGAGCTACCAGACATGCTGAAAATCTAACTCTGGTCCTCTGGACAGGCACTACATGCTCTTAATCATTGAGCTATCTCTCCAAGCCCCATCATTTCTTTATTGTATAAATCTGTTAGTTACTTATGCACAACACTTTAACACTAGCAAAATTTGTTCAGTATATCTTTACTTCATAAAAGAGCAAATATGAGCCCTAAGGCCAATCCCCCAATATATAAACTTGTTTGCTAAGAACTCTTCCTTCCTACAGCTTCATACACTAAATCTATTACTTCCTTATAAGTATATACTCATTTCCAAGCAAAAACCACTCACTTTGCCCTGCTATTGTTAATAACCTCTACCTTCCATGCCATTCTGATCCATACCTATAGTTAACAGCTCCTCCTATCAAACCTTTCCAACAGAGAATCATAAACCAATTACCAATACATCCCCCACTTGCTCCAAAACATCCTTTTCTGTGTCAGTAAAACTTCAAAGCCTCCTGAAAACACCAATTCCTATCAAATCACTTCTAAAAGAAGATAATCCTTTTCCTACTCTTCTGGATAACTGGAAAAAGATACTATTTGCAGACCAATTTATTAATACTCTACTTTTCCTCTTTTAAAAAGTATACACTGAAAATACTACCCTACCTTGCGCATCATTTCATTCTACCCTTGATAACAGTGATTTCTAGTTTTGCCCATGATTCCCTGCTTTTATGAACAGTGTTACATATATGATTTTTCTAAGAGTCTATTTTACCTTTCTCATTGCAATACCCTTTTCACTGTGAACTGGTACTTTGTTCAAGGTCAGGAACTTAAATTTTCTCTCTAATCCTGCTTCTTGCATTCTACTACGTTACTGCCTAGTTCTGCTCAATCTGTTCTTGACCTTTCTGAATACTTCCAGTCCCTTCATTATTTTTTTCTCTTGTCTTTTAAGCGAATGCATTCTTACCCAAAACCTTAAAGTAATATACCAAAAAATTTATCTTGCTAGCATCCTTGACTTTCCTATTTGCTCCTGTTAACTCTAGAAAACCAATTAGCTGCTTTCTTTGCCCTGTCAAAGTGGTATTAACTTTGCTTTGAGTTTTGACATGACTGTGTTAAGGCAGGTATCTTATAAAATAAACCCACACTATCATGAGAAAATGCATTTTGTCTATTTTGCTCAATGGCTTATACCCAAACATTTGTCATTACATAGTCCATTAAAATCACTCAAATTATAAAATGAATGTATTCCTATGCATTGCCTGTTAGCTTCATACCAAATTCCCTAAAGTGACTGTTCCTTTCTGGTTTTTCCACTACAGTTTACAATGGGACAAATCTCACTGAGAAAAACGCAGGTCTTCTCATATAAATTAAGTCAGTTACCCTGTGTTTTCACTCCTCTTATCCATCTTGCCTAATTTTTCTTTTAGC